CCGAAAGATGATGATGAGTGTCTGCGCCGACTCCTGTCCGACGATGATCGCAAACGTGACATCTTCCTTGAAGCTTGGGAACGTCAGGTACAACAGAAAAATTCCCGCAACAAATGAAAGTTCAAAAAACATTCCATAAAAAAAAAAATCCTTTATATTTATAAATTATCATTCCAATGTTTGTCCAATTCTAAAACTTTCAGTTTTATCTGATAAGTTCCCGTCTAAATATGAGCTTTCACTTCCAACTACATCTATTTGTTCAAGATGGAATGAAAGTCTGGACGAGTTTATGAAATGTTTTAATTAAATTTTCATTCTACTATAACAAATATCTTCTAATTTGGATTAGATTAACCTATTTATGACTGTAAATCCTTACTTAGAATGAAAGTGCAATTAAAATATTTCATGAACTCATCCACACTTTCATTCCATCTCTAGCATGCAGTCCAAATAAGAAGGGATACCCTATTCTTGGAATGAAAGTTTGCAAGAAAGATAAAAAAATTTAAAATTCGAATGACATTTTTAAAGATAGAATGAAAATTTAAAATTGAGATGGTAATTTTACTATGGAATGATTATTTAATTCTAAGAAATTTTTCCGTTGTAGGTAGTCTTCGTACTTGAAATCGATACAAAAACCAACAGCGTCGTTGATCGTCTTCAGTACACACCAGATACGTAAAAATAATCTAAAAAAATCGCAGAGTAATCTTCACGCTATAGTAATCTCCAACAAATCGCCACTATGAAATTATGAAAGAAAAGGGTTACGAATGATGAGAGAGATATAAAGACAGTGAATATAAAATGAAAGAGTGACAGGTCTATACAGTGTCAATCATCGCGGGTACCGCCCGCAAGTTCTAAGCACCGTGCATAGAGATAAATACATGCAAATGTAGAGAGAACGTGCGAGGTTTTACTTCAGGAGTGCGGGTTCTGAGAGAACCAAAACCTTGACGGTTATCGGAACTATTCATCGAATGGTAGCTAACACATATGAGATGGCGGATCTACCGCCCGTGATTGAGTTATTCGGACGGGAACTCCGACTCATAAATTACTCATGGAGGATAAGCTGCGCCGCGATATTTGCGTTCATCTGAAACAAGAGGGACGCGGACGTCCGAAATAAATTCTAGGAGTACCTGGAAAAGCAAGAAGCACCAAATCGACGGATATAAAACTGAAAGTCCGGAATAAAATACGTCAAGAAATTCACACGACTCGGAATAAAAAGTTAAAATCACAAATAAAAAAATCAAAAATCAAAAATCAAAAATATAATTTTGCACGGAATGAAAATAAAATTTTCAGGGACGAAAAAAAAACATACACGACTAAGTACTCCGGAATATCACGAAATTTCTGCAGATATAACGACGTAAGAGTGTCGCTCACATTTCCAAACATACGAAACAGATAGAAGATGAAAGACCTAAAGCAGTGGAAATGAACCAATAAAGAAAAAGTACTCACCTGGAAATGAAGGAAATCCGACGGTCATGAAAGTAAACAAGAATAGAATAACAAACAATGCCAGATTCGACTCAGTATAAAAAAACAGCGGAGTTATAGGCAAGTACCACAGTAAGACGGATCTCCGACAGAGAGGAGAATACGTGAGTAGCACGCACAAAATCATTAGATATGATGAAAGTAACTCCATATTCAAGGCATGTTGGAAATCGACAATGACAAGGACAACACAGATAGCGACTGCGGGAGATCCTGAGGATAAATGATGAGTACACTGCAAGGATAGGCAAACAGGGCGGAGAAGGACTGGGAACGAAGGGTATAAATCCTGAGGATAGTGACTGAAATTATTACCTGAGCAGTGAGGTAGAAGGGTAATCGTGACTGGTGTCGCATGCCATGGACATTATGTGTATGCTGTGAAAGTAAAACCTCGCACGTTCTGTCTACATTTGCATGTGTATGCTGTGAAAGTAAAACCTCGAACGTTCTGTCTACATTTGCATGTGTTTATCTTAATGCACGGTGCTTAGAACTTGCGGGCGGTACCCTCGATGATTGACACTGTATAGACCTGTCACTCTTCCATTTTACATTCACTGTCTTTATCTCGATCTCATCATTCGTAACCCTTTTCTTTCATGATATCATAGTGGCGATTTGTTGGAGATTACTATAGCGTGAAGGTTACTCAACGATTTTTTTAGATTCTATTTTACTTATCTGGTGTGTACTGAAGACGATCAACGGCGGTGTGGGTTTTTTTATCGATTTCAAGTACGAAGACTACCTACCTGACGTTCCCAAGCTTCAAGGAAGATGTCGCGTTCGAGATCATCGTCGGACAGGAGGCGGCGAAGACACTCATCATCATCTTTCAGATCTCAAGGGAGGAAGCGCTCAATAAGGGGGAGATCGAAAACTCCGAGAGATAGAAGACATAAATCAAGATCACCATCGTCACAGAGAAGAATGTCGGAGTCAGAATCTCCAAGGTGGTTCTCGAGACCATTGTGGGAGCAAAGACGGAATAATTTCCCCCCACCGGGAAATCGAGCGTGGTTTACGGCGGATCTAAAGGAAGAAATCTTTAAGCTCCGATGAGAGATGGACAAATGTCTTAAGACACTGGAGTAACTCACACGAAAGACAGGTAAAAAGCAGCCAGCTTCTCCGAACAAGGAAGATACCGCAAAGAAGTCTGAGCTAACTCCGGACACGCTCAAGTCCATCATTGATGAAGCACTGAAGCCGACAGAGATGAGCCAAGGGGGACAAAATCAAGCTCGTCCAAGTGCAACCGGTCAAAAGAATGCAGAGGCGGAAGATAAAGTAGAAATGATGGTATCAGAAGTGCAGAAGGAGGTCAACAACCTGAAGCTACTAAAGTATGATCTGGCGGTTGTGAAGGGCGCGTTGCAGAAGATCAATGAACCGACTCGTACCTGCACTCCGATCGTGTCGTCTTCGGTTCATCCAAACGGATATGTGGGGACAATGGCTGGACTACCAACTTTAGTTAATGGTAGCCACAACATTCCGAGCAGAAGCGTGTCAAGCAGAAGTGCATCGAACAAAAGCAAATTGGGACGCGTAATCCCTCCACACCCCAAGAGAGGACGAACGAAGATTAATCGCAACGTGTCGGCAACAAAGTCGAAGGCAAAACGAAGCATTAATTATGGGGTCGAACCGATGACGGACATGCAGCTCCTTCGTCTTCACTACACGGACATGAAGGTCTTATGCAAGATGCATGACATCAGGTACAAGGACAAGCTGCAAGCGATCTCGGCATTGAGGCAGGTTCCTTGATTGATCGCCTACAAGGGGCGGGACTTCAACCGGGATTCTGATCTTGAAACACAGATCATGCCAAATCCAGATAACATCAGTGTCCAATACAACTGGCGGCGACACAAGTGAGGATGATTACGAGAGCCTTAGTACAAGATCAAGCGGGAGTGATGAGTATGACTCATCCGACACATCTTCCAGTGCCGAAGATCTGTTGGGAAGGTAGAAGACACCTCAGCATCAGGCGACCTCACCACGAGACAAAAGTGGGAGCAGATACACAGGCTACCAACGAAAATTGAGCAACTAGTTAGTACAGGGAGTTTCACCTTGGTGTAGGCATATGTACGTGGGGAGGACAGGAAGACAGCCCGACAAGAGATGGATTGAACACATAAACTTGGCCAAGAATCCAAATAGAGGAGCACAGCGGAAACTATACAGTTGGCTGCACTTCAGTACATGGTAGCCGCAGCATTCCGAGCCGTGTAGGCAGCCAAGTAGAAGCGCACCGAACAAAAGCAGATTGGGACGCGTAATCCCTCCACACCCCAAGAGAGGACGAATGAAGATTAATCGCAACGTGTCGGCAGCGAAGTCATCTGCACGATTCATCCGACAGTCCAAAGAGTCGGGTGGCACGAAAGCAGTCCCTTTCCGCCCTCCTTCCGTCGGGCATGGCCTTCATGCAGTGAGTCCCCATGAGCCTCTATATCTTTCTGTTTTTGTTGTCGCATGCATTCCGTTTTCCTCTGTCTCCGAGGCAACAAAACGGGCGTTTGTTTCATCCTCCCTCGTTCAGCACATCGTCCTTGGAGGTTGAACTTGAAGAAGACGCCCTCAGTGTCCATGGCCAACCACAGCCAAAACCCCGGTTTGTCTGCAATCGACGACTGGGGATACTCCGAATCCTAGGACTTCGGCCCGTGCGGACCATATGGTGGGCCGCTGCCGTCGACGCAGGTCCCGGGGCAAACCATCCTACGGGAAGGTTTGAGTGGTACGCAGTCCAGTGTGTCGGTGCTTGGTGGTGGGTCCAAGTCCCCATACCCGCCAGAACATAGTGTAGGGGCACTGACCCCTCCATCGGGCTTTCAAGAACTGCAGCGACCATGTCAATCTCCTGGGTTCCACTTCTCGGTCGAAGCAGCGGGGGGGGTTGGGGTCCACGGCCCATCCTTGTGGCAGGTCACGGACGGTGCGGGCGGCAGCCTCTGACCTTCCAATGCTGTGACAGGTGGTCCACCTCTCTCATCGCTTGTGACTCCTGTTCGCGGGTTCAGAATCGGGGTGGGAGGTGAGGATGAGAACCCTTTCAGCCTCTCAGGCAGCGTCTGAGACTGCCTGCAATGCGAATTGCAGAGGGGCTGGCCGTGGACATGAACGAAGGGACGTCGGGAGGGTGTCACGACCCTGGTCCCTGGGTTGTCGGCATCGGGCATGGCACTCCCGGTGCCTCGGGCACTGCGTCTGGAGGGAGTGACACGCAGGAATGTAATGAACGAAGTCCTGCCGTGTCATTGTCTCCGGTTGGGCATCAGGGCGCTGCTGTGTGGAGGCACACTTCCCTAGACGGCAGTGTGACGCAACCACGATCTGATGGTCCTTCAACACAGTCGAATTACCTGTTGAACCGCATTATCCGCCAAAACGAGCATGCTCTTCCACCTGCGACACATGTTAATGAAAATGACTGTGGAGGTGTTGCGGTCGGGCCACAATCAGGCCCGTAGCAGACACCTCCCCCTTGCCCCCCGAGTGCAGCCCCGGGCACAGGCACACCGTCTTTTCTGTCGACCGGCAGCGGGTCCCGGGCAGTGCCATCGACAGAGCAGTCGGGGGGTGGAACTTCCATGGGTCTACCGCTACGGTCGGGCTCGCCTCCGATAAACACGGAGAGGTGGGGGGACACCGAAACCGATTGGCTATGTCAGTTCCGGAACGAGGTTAAGGTGCTCATGGGTGAAGAGACCGAGCAGTACGGTTGCTCAAGGCTGAAAGCGGGTTTCTGGAAGATCGTGGAGCAGCGCATGCGAGAGAAGGGTTACATCCGCAAAGACGACCTGTGTAAAAATAAGTTCAACCAGATCTTAGAGTACTGCAGGAAGTTGAAGGCGCACGAGAGGCGGTCTGGTCGAGAGAGCTATTGGGACATAAATAAAGCTCGGAGGAAGAGGTACAACGTTGATTTTATGCTTAAGCGGAGTTGGTACGACATCATCGACCCGGTGGAGAAGGACAAGGACTCCATTGATCTCTCCAATTTGATGGACTCGGGTGCGGACGAGGAGCGGCTGGAACACTTCAAAGATAGTCGAATGGGTGTGAAGGGGAAGAAGGGACATGAAATG